ATCTATCTATCTATCTATCTATCTATCTATCTATCTATCTATCTATCTATCTATCTATCTATCTATCTGAATTTATAAGCTGCCCAACTCCAATGGAGTCTTCTATTGATGTTCTTCTATTTCATTTATACAAATGAAATCAACGATGTATGTTTGTCATTCTTGACCCTGACTTTCATTGCAGAAACTGGATTTTAAGGTCCAGTTTCCATGGAAATGGATTTTACCCCAACTATGCCCAACTTAACAGCCGCTGGAATGGTCTTTCTGCATTACAACCTTCCCACATTGTAAGCATCAATTGAAGTAAGATGGATATATGATGTGAAAGACAGTTTAGGGAATTTCAAGCATTACTTTAACAACTTAGTATTACACACACACACACACACACGTGCGCACACACACACATTGCTTGATGCGGCTTTGTTACAATGAACTCACATATGTTACCAAAATATATATAAACAGAAATAAATGGAGATTGGACATTAAGTCTTTGCACTTATTGTTGGTCGCACAATCAGCCAGATGTTTAGACTGGACTTGGCATTTTTATCCCCCTATCAAGTCCTTCCCAAAGACCTGGGATAGGCAGATGTTGTCTGATGGTGTTAAAGGTATTGTCGCAGGATATAAGCTGTTCCAAGTAAAGCTGCCTATTATCATCATTATTGGCACTTGTAATTAAATTCATATCATTCTTTGCCCCTTCCCCCCTCCTCATTAAGGATTTACAGGGGATTTTCATTCCCTGCTCACTTTATGAAACGCGGTCTTTATAAATGGTGCACCCAGCAAATCTGAACTGAAATGAGATAATTAAGACATTTCCTTTGCAAGCACTCCAAAAATGGGAAGGAAACAAACAAGAAGATGTGATATTTCGGTGCACAGGTCCTGCTAAAGGTTCAGGTGTCTGTGGTTTTCAGACTGAATGAAGCTTTGGGCAGCTAACTTAAATTCAAAAGTTGATCCCGTAAGATATCCAGTGGATGTTTCCTCATGTTTATTTCATAAAACGGGGGGCTTGTGGCTGAGATATAATCCCAACATCTCTTACCTTTGACCAAACTGTCTGAGGAAGTCCAGAACTCTAATTCAAACTTTCTGGAAGGCCACCTGCTCCCTAGCATTGATATTTTGTGATTTCATAACATTCAAAACACCAGTTCTCCCATGGTTAAGTGTTTAAATACTTCTAACTTTATCATCCAAGATGTTTTAGTTATTTTTATGCTTTCTCTAGTGGTCAATGCCAGTAAATATGATGATATGGTGCAATTGTCCTGTGCCTGTGGAATACTTCCAGTTTCAGCAGATTTTTTAATTTTATTGCAATCTATTAAATGAAAGATTAAGCAGAAGGTGAAACATGCTGCAGTTTTATAGTGCTGTACAATGTCATTTGCGCACCAGATAGTATATAATCCTTTAACACTAATGGGAACAAGGTTGCCCTCCAAAATTATACTGAATTTCTCTCTGAGAATTTTCTCCCAATCATTGTCATCCTGTGTTTTAAATTCCATCTGGGATGATTGGATGATGGAAGTATCAAACAAATCATGGTAATGCAGGGCATTTCCTCCCAGTTTATATTCCAGAAAGAAGAGGAAATTGGGAGGGAAGAGATTTGGAAGATGTCAGTAGAAGGATAGATCTGAGGAAGACTCAGATTCTGAGCCCAGGAAAATGTCCGTCTGTCAGGGAGACATTATTAGGAATATATTTATTGCCACTGTGGACAGGTATTAACTGGTTATAGATACACTGTGGAATCAAGTGGACCTATTTATTAATCATGCTAAGTTATTCAATGAAATTCAATTTGTTTTTTTGCTTTAATGTTTCTAAGTGACCGTGCTGTCCTATCTCTTCCCCATGTTCTACCTCGTCATCTTACATCACTGAGAAATAAAGAAGCTCAAGGGGAAACATTCAAAACCAGAGAAGGGTTAAGTGGTGGCAGCAAAGCAAAAAGATCCTGTTGAGATCTCCCGGAGTTTGTGGGATTTCATTTAATTCTAAAGAATGAAAAGTTAATAGAAAAAGGACTCCCACAGCCAGGATGGAATGCATTACCACCAGATCTACATTTTCCTTGTTCTGTCTCAGAAAGGTTCCAACTGGTCAGACACATAAAATCCATCAGTAGATTGGTGGTTGCAGATAGACTGGAATTGGAACTCCTCAATGGTCTGTGGCTCAATAGATGGATATTCCTGTATTCTTTTTTCTAGAAGATCTGAGTTGGAGAAATTCTGAGTGGAAACCTCCCGATGTTCTCATCATATCAAATACAATCATCTTCAGTGAATTGAAAAGGCCAATGTTTGAGGCTGGCCTCTGTGAAAAACCAATTACATGGTAGAAAATCTTCAAACCACCATTAACTGTATAGGTTGTGCCTTCTGTAGTTATCTTGATGAGAAGATGGGTCGTGTGAACAGCAAGGACATTTTGCTGTTATTTTATTCATTTACTTGAACAATTCATTTGAACAGCTTATATGGCCACCCATCTCACCACTGTGACTTTAGGCAGCTAACAAGAAATAAAACCAGAAAAGAACAAAACAAATCAAATTAATTAAAAAAATATTACAGCAACAATCAATCTAGAGGTGCAAGGAGACCGTTCCATCTTACAATCAATAAGAAACAAAACCAACAACCCAACCAACAGGGCTCACCCAACACCCTGCCCCAAATGCCTGAAGGAAGAACCAGGTCTTCAGCACCTTCTGAAAGGCCAACAAGGTTGGGGTCATCAAGAATTCTGTGGAGATACTTCCACAGGGGAGTCATTGAGACAGAGGAGGTGCATAAGGAAGGAGGAGAGCCTTCTCTGCCCTTGCCCCCACCCTTTGGAATATTCTCCCCCCAGAGATGTGGCAGGCCCCTACCCTCCTAGCTTTCTGGAAAGGATAAAGACCTGGCTCTGCCAGCTTGTGTGGGGTGACAACAATCTTACCAAATCCTGGGGGTGGCTGGCACCTTGATGATGCTCCCCGAGTGACTTCCAATTTTAACAGCTATCCTTGGATCTATTTATTTTCTATCTATTTAAGATTATTGTATATTGTAATTTTAATTGATTTTAATTGTTCTGCAAACCACCCAGAGATGTTTCAATGAGATGGGCGGTGACAAATTTGATATATAAATAAATAAATAAAAATAAGCATAGGACCATTGGGTTGTAGCCTAGTCTTTCAGCACATAAGATGAAAGTTGGCTGTTCTCCATGCCTTTTCTTCACAATTTTATTATAAACTTGCTCTAAGTCTAAGGTAATGGTCTCCCTGCTAAGGATGCTGGGATTTTCAAATGGCACAGCTTCTATGCGGTGCTGAAAGATTGCATTTCTAAATGGAGTTATTTGAGAGAGCTGTTGCAGCCCGTTCTTGTGTCTTGAACGTGCTTCTTGGAAGGCAAAAGAAACTAATTAAAAATGATGGGACTGCGAAAAGCATCTTGGGCTTATAGAATTCACAGTGATGTTTCAAAGACATTCCAGAGATGAAGCAGAGAAGCATGGCAACAAGGCTTCCCTTGGCTGTAATCATGATTTATGGAAGACACAGCACTAGCCATTGGTTCAGGCGGCTTTCAGAGGGATTCAGACAAAGTCATGGAGGATTCTTTGGGTTCAGAGAGAAAATGTAGTTGAATGCAGACTGTTGGGGAACAACTGTAGGAAACAATCTTTTCCTTCATGTTAAGCTTAGGAGTTTCCTGGAAACCCCTGGCTGACCGTGGAATCCAGGTGAGCCTTTGATCCAGCCTCTCTGAACTATTTATAAGTTTTCTGTGTGAGAGTGAAAGAGGGATAAAAAAAGCAAAAAAACAAGTAAAAGTGTAAACGTTCTATCGACCAAGTTCTTGAATGATGAACAGCTATTGCCTTGGTTCATTTGTCTTCCTAATCAGAAATAATACCTCTGTAATCTTAAATTTACACAATATAATGGGAGGGAATGTTCCCCACAAGCATACCATGGAGGACTGTTATCCAAATAACATGTTTTTAACTCCTCCAAATGATCTGAATAAAAATAAGACACTGTGCAAGACAGTATATTATCTCTATTCTGCATTGATTTATCCTATGTTGATTCCTGTCCATTTGCAATCCCCAATATTCTAGTCATTCATTTCAACCACGTATTTTCAAAACACGATATTATTATATGTTCACACATTTATGGAAATTTAATTTTTATTAAATCACATGTTAATAATATGTAAAAGGAGATAGAACACAATTTTGTGGTTTTGAATCTACAAGCTTCTTAATTTCCCCTCCCCCCAAATTTGGAGGTGGAAAAAAAATCTGCTTTTTTAATTTTTTTTCCTTTGCTTTTCTCCTCCTCACTTGGATTTTGATTTCAAAATATAAGCTGGGAGAAAGTTCATCTGAAATGTTTATGCCTAATCCACTGGTCTATCAAATGCTTAACTTTTGAGAAAACAAGAGAACTGCTTGTGTTGTGTGCATATGTGACTAAAAGAAAATGAAAATTATCTATTTTGATTGACATAGGAATGAGAAGGAATGCAAAGAAGGAGGTTACTTCTAAGTAGAATAGATAAAACATCAAGAGCTAGATGGGTACTTTGTTGAGTGCATTGCACTCTATCAGTGTCTACTTCTAAGACCACATCACAAAAAGTTGATTGTATAACATGGAATTGAATTCCTTTGATGGGAGACCTTGGGAGATTGGGAGGCCTGATTGGGAGACCTTTGGGAAATCACTGTGCAGGAACCCAACTATGTAATACCTTAAAATGATGGTATTAGAAGGGACAACAAAGGAGACAGTTCCACTATTGTACAGATTTTACTGTCTGGATGTTTGTCCTTATATTTAAACAAGTTCTAGATAGCTGCAACTTTAATCCATTATTAATGGCCCTAGTTTCTATGACAATGGAGAATAGTTCCCAACTGTCTTCCCTGTGACATCCTTTTATGTACCTGGCCACTGATGCTATCATGTCTCCCTTCAGTCTTCTTTTCTTCAGGCTGAACTACTTTGCAGAGTTGAGGATAACCATCTTTTAAGTTGCCCAAGTCCTTAGATGAAGAGCAAGAACCTGCTCTGCTAAGAGTTTCCTGTGGACCCCTTGCCCACCTATTCTTTCTCACCATTGGTGGCTTAACCAACCAGCTGTACAGTTCAGTTCAGGTTTATTAACAGTCTTTGGACCTTTTTGTTCCAAGGAAGGAAGGGAGGGAGGGAGGGAGGG